CGAGATGGTGCACCAGGGCACCACTCTCTCCGAAGCCCTCAAGAACATCAGGGGCGACTTCCTCTTCTGGCAACGGGAGGTCTATGAGCACCTCAACAGGGCGCCGACGAAGGGGAAGAGCAAGAGCAAGGCACCCAAGGTGTGGCAGACTCAGTGGGAGAAGCCCAAGAAGGGGGGAAAAGGATCTTGGCCCTCGGGGCCTACCCATTCCAAGCCGAAGGGCAAGGGCGGCAAAGGAAAGTCCCCCAACACCTCATCGACCCCATGGCCAGACCACTGGGCTTTCAAGAATCCCAAAGGGGTGGCGTACTGCAGAGATCATCACCTTCACAACAAATGCCCTGGATCATGCGGCCGATCCCACAACTGCCCGGTCAGGAAGGATGGGTGGGTGTGTGATGCCCCCGCATCGAAGCATGTGCCACAGCATGCCCACACCTCCCCAAGTGACAGGAGGCCACTCAGGGTGCCATAGGCCCCGTGGCTGCCTGGTCTCCGAAGGGATCACAGGCCACCAGTGCGAGAGTGCACACAGCGGGGGAGAGCCAATCCCACCACAGCCACAGCGGAAGGCAGACAGAGTTGGGGAGGCCAGGACGGCCGCAGGTGGGAGGGGATTTCTCCAGGGTGCCACCGGCCCCGGAAGCCCCTCCACCGAAGAAAAGGAGTGGCCCAGCCAGGGCACTCCAGAAGGGCGGAAGCACCCGTTTCCCCCGCACCCACCAGTGGGAAGAACCCCCAGAGAGACCCAGAGGCGAGGATCCGCCCAGCAAGGGGCGTTCCAAGGGCGGGCAGAACCGTCAGGGCAAGCAGCAAGCCCAGGCCAGACGACCAGAGGGTCGGACAAAGGTCACACGGAATTTGTCCCACCTTCCCCTGGATGCAAGACACCCCGGAAAGACTGAGGCTCAGACTAAGGTGGACGCCACGTCCGGTGCCGGAGTCGTCGAAGCCGACCCTCATCCTGCTGTACGCTGGGAAGGATGACGCGGGGGCCCTGGATGCCTACCTCCATGCCTACAACCCGGCCTTCTCGGAGTACATCTGGGCAGTGGACATTAGGCGAAAGGGTGGCGATCTTGGACAGGACATGCTGGGAGACGAGCCATACTCTACAATGTGCTCCATGGCCATGGCGGGCAAGGTCGCCTTTGTGGGGGGCGGCCCCAACTGCAGAACGTGGAGCATTCTCAGATGGTTCCCCAAACCGGGAGGCCCGCCGCCGGTGAGGGGCAGGGCGGAGCAGACCCTGTGCTTGGAGGACCTGGAGCCCCGGGTAATGGAGGACACGGACAACGACAGCGTGCTCATGCTCCGACAGATGTACCTGACCTCGCTGGCCTACCAAGGACTAGGTCAACTAACGGTCCCGCAGGTGGGCTCCTCCTTCCTGGACCACCCAATGCACCCAATGGAGTGCAGCAAGAGCCCGAGCGCAGCGAGGTGCTCATCGATCTGGGTCACACGGGCCTACATTCAATGGGCGAACGCACTCCACCACTCCCTCATCAAGTTTGACGAGTGCCGCCTGGGCCAGGTGGTAGTGAAGTCCACGACATTGTCAACGGACCTTCCCCTTCACCATTGGCATGATCTGCGATGCAACCACGGAGCTCACCCCAGGGGGGAAAAGCTCAACTCCAGTGACCTTAGCCGGTACCCAGAGCAGATGATGCAGGGTCTCGCGGCGGCCATCCTCTGCAGAGCGGGACCCGTCCTGGAGGCGCTGAGGCCGGGGGGCACGGTGCCCCAAGTGAACCCAACGACCCCCCCGAGGCGGCAGAGGGAACCATCTCCCAGCGCGCCGGGGGACAACAAGCGCCAGTCCCTGAGGCTGAAGGCCGGCCAACAAGCGTTGGCGGGACTAACCCTGGGCTCACTTCCGGTCTCGGCCTCAGACAATCCTGAGGTCCGGACACCAACACAGCCGGCTGGCAGGACGGTCGAACTTCGGGGTGAAACTCTTCCCCTTCAGCCATGGGCGCGCCATTGCATGGAGATCTCGGATCGGCCCACCACCCTGCCAATCACGCACGACCCAAATCTCTCCGACAAGGTTATGTACTTCCAGATGGCCTTCAAACAGCGCCCCCTCAGGGACGGGGGTGGGAAGCCCTCACTTGGACGGCTGGCCCCGTGGAAAGCAGCAGCGATGGGGGCCGGGATCTGTGTCCTCACGTCGCCATGGGGGGACAAACTCCAGGAGTCACTCTCGTTGGGGGACGGGTCACACCCCTTCCCGGAGGATCTGCTGGAAGATATCAGGGAGATCCTGGCGCCAGTTTCCTCATCTGGAACAAGGGGGTCCCACTGGTCACGGACCCACCCCTAGCCTCGCCGGGCATCTGGCCAGCTAAAAGGGGAGGAGCCATCACGGGCCGGGGTAACTACCCCTCAGCGGAAGGAGGTCCCCATGGGCATGGTAGATGGCCCTCTCACCAAGGTAGAGGCAGCAGGAGGATCTTTGTCCAGGCCCCCTAGCGGGCATCGACGAAGGGGACAAGATCCGCACCATCTACGATGGCTCGGTGGGCGGGGCCAATGACGGTGGAAAGGACGACGGCTCCGACGGTGCTGGATGGGGTACAAGCTCTTCATTGGCTACATGCGGCAGCTGAGGAGGGACCTCCCTCTCAGGGTGCCCCCGGATCGAAGAAGGAGGTCGCCAAATCTCCACCCGAGGGCTGGCTATGGCCGGAGCCGGGCACCAGGTGGGTGCTGCTCAAGGCGGACGTCACCAAGGCCCACCGGAGAGTGAAGGTCCTCAGAAAGGACTGGCGGTTCCAGGTGGCTTCTCTGGGGGAAGAATGGTGGGTGAACAAGGTAGGCACATACGGCATGGCCAGTGCCCAATCCTACTGGGGACGCCTGGCAGCCCTTCTACTCAGGGTCCTCTACGCACTTTTCCCTCAAGTGGATTGGAACTTCGTCTTTGTGGATGACTTCCTGTGGCTGCTTCGCAGCGAGGGGGCAGTAAACTTGGCGGTGGCGCTGTTGGCAACACTCCTGGCCTTGGGCACCCCGCTTAGCTGGAAGAAGACACATTTGGCGGAGGTCAACACGTGGCTGGGCTTCGTGGTCCACCCGAACATCCCGCAGGTTCTCATGGCCGCCAACAAACACATCCTGGTGATGGAGGTCTTGCAGACCATGGTGGAAGGGCAGGCGATGCACTCAAAGGACATCGAGAAGGCCCTGGGCCGCATCCAATGGGCAACTGCTGCATGTCCGCTGGCGAAGTCGATGCTTCAGCCACTGTGGGCCTGGAAGATGGCCACCACCACGGTGGGGAAACCCCCCAAGGTGGTCAGGATGCTGGCGTTCATGCTGCGGTTCCTCTTCAACACGCCCTTCGTCCAGTACTCCCCTTACTTGCCGAAGTCCTCTTGGTGGGGTTGCAGCGATGCTAGCGCCTCGGACGAAGGACTGGCATTTGTGGGAGGATGGTGCTCCAACAAAATGGAGCCGGAAAAGAAGGAGGTGTACTGGTTCCACGAGCAGATCCACGTGGAGGAGTACCCTTGGGCATTCAAGAATGGGGATCCCAAGCGGAGGATTGCGGCTTTGGAAATGCTGGGCACGCTCTTCCTCTGTAACATGATCCTCACGCACCAAGGCCCTCTGTCCTCCCGGGTCCGACTCCCGGTGGGCAGTGACAATCAGGGCAACGTCATGGCGATGCTCAACCTTGGATCCAAGAAGCCCTACACCGCGGCTATCCTGATGGAGCTGGTCTTCCTGCTCCACACCCATGGCTGCTCGCTGGCGGCCAACCACGTGCCCCGGGAATTCAACCAGTGGGCGATGAGCTGACGCACCCAGATTTCTCTGGGTTCGACCCTTTGCACAGGGTCCCCAAACAGGAACTCTGCGAGGAGTTCGTTTTTCTCCCGCGTCTCCTGAATGGAGATGCATTTGATCTTAGCGTGGGCCCACCCATGCTCCCGTGACCGGAGCCGGTGGGTGACTCACTTCCCCTGGTGGCAGACCCCCCTGTGGCCTGGGTGCCCCGGGCCCCGGCTCAGGGGCGGGCGCTATCAGTCTGCACACCCGTTCTTCAGTGTTTGAGAGTTTGTGGTGGGTGGCCCATGGCCCACCCAGCCGTAGACATCTGACAGGGGAAGATGAGTCCCTGGCACCAACACATTGCTTGGATAAAAGAGTTATCGCTTGCTTGTGTGGTGCCGTTTGGTTAGCTTACATACACTTTCCTGTTTGCTACATTCCATCCACCTGTGCAAAGGTGCACCATTTCGCTGAAGCGGGTCTCATATCACCTTTTTGGGGCCATCAAAAATTGGCCCCTGTCACCATGACAAGGGCACACCAGAGTTTGCGACCGCAGGCCAACCAAAACTGAGTTTCCTTTGGGTGGGGTGATGAAGGGGACATGTGATGGCTAGACTTAGCTCACTGTCTTGCCCTTTTCGGCCTCCTTTTTTGTCCCCTTCCGATCAAGAAAGCAACAACTTGTGACAGGGTGTCTTAGTCTGACCAAGACTGTAGGTAACCAGGGCTTTGTACCTCGAGCTTTTATCTGGCTCCGGGGCACCCACTAGTACCTTTTTGAAAGAACTCGGGAACTCTTTTGAGCAATCAATACCCAGGTAGATGAAGGTAGGGGGCACTTCCAAATCGTCAGCTGCACTCGCCTTGGTAATTATTTGCTCGCTTTTGGGCATCACTTTCGTGCTGGGTTTGATTGGAGCTCATATCGTAAGATCTTAGGCACAACTGGTACCACAGGTTTTTCAAGGCTCATGTTGCACTGCACGTGAGCCATGGTTAGACCACGCCTTGTTCTTGGGCGTTGCCCAGGGATGGTCATGGACTCCCAGGCATAGGTGTCCTTTTTAGGTTAGTTTGGTTAAAAGTAGAAGGCACTGGTTTAGATGGGTTTTGTCTGCCCCATTTTTACCAGGGAACCCCATCTATTTTTAACCAAAAGGACACCTATTAGGAATCCTAGTGGGACCGATGCGGTGGGTTCCCACGCTGAGGCCATCCACGGGGCCTGCGACTCCCCAGCGGCCCCAGGAGCTCCGGGAGCTGAGTACCGAGGCGTGGGCCGTGGGTTGCATATGGCGATCCAATTCGGTGGATGAACATCCATTTTTAAACCTAGTTTGCAGGGCACCAGGGGCTTGCTGGGTTTTGGTTGGTAGGTGAATTCACCATCCATTTTGGTTGGTAGGTGAATTCACCACCCATTTTAAACATGTTTTAGTGGGGATTGGGATGTTCACTGGGGGTACGATTTGGATTTTGACCCACAGCCACGTGGGTGTGGGGTCAAGACTTGGTCTCCGAAAATGGAACCGTGGTGAATGTAAGCATGGACTAAAACCTGTGGTCTCCTGTAGGTTTGATTTTGACCCGGAACCACCTGGGTGTTTCTCCATTCTTCCGGAGAGACGTGGGCTTTCTTTTTGTGCCCCTGAAAAAAAGGGGGTCCTTTATTTGGAGACTAACCCATGGAACCTGTGGGCAGGCACCTAAGGTGCCTGAAACCTTTGGATCGCCCGGAGAGGTTGGCCCACACGTGGGGGGGGGGGGGAGTTCATCTTTTGAGTTGGGGTCGACCATTTCCTCTCAAAGGGGAGGGTTCTGTTGGTGGAGCCACCCACTTGTCGGGGTCCCCTTATTCTTGAGTCACGCCCACTTGAGCCACAATTCAAATCCCAGAAAGGCAACTGCAAGCTGGCCGATCGGTCATTTCAACTGCATGTGTGTCTAAGTATGTAGTCTTTGGTCATAACTCTTTTTGCGCGGTGACCCTTTTGCCGTGAGGATGTGACTGTGAGGGGGTCCTTTTTCTGTTCGACTTGGCGCTGCAGGTGCCAAGGGAACCCTCCTGGCCCTCGGACGGGGTGTCGCTGGAGCGCCCAAGCCAGGGAAATCTGGGGAGTAGATCCCTAGGATCTGCGTGTAAGCGACGATTCCCAAAAAAATCAAAACACAAAATAACAACAAGTTTTCTAACGACCTTCATTCCAGGCCATTTTTCCAGAGAACCCAAACTCGTCTGTGCTCCGCGTTTGCGTTTCAGCATGTTGCATCACGATTGTCGACCATTAGTGTATCTTTTGTAGGTACCTCTTATGTGCGTTGGGTTTCAACCGGCTGGCTCTAGCTGTCCAAATAATGTCAGCCTTGTTTGGAGTCGAATGAAGCGTTTCGGGACATGCCTGAAGGAACAACATTGCCCGAGTGCATGCTTTATGGCTAGCGCGATGATGTCTCTATATCACGCCCTCAAAGACGAATGAAGCAGCCGACCATTGGCAGTGCCCTTTCTCCTTCGCTGGGCAGTCGCAGAAAATTATTCCTGCAGAGATGTAGCTCATACGCTTTTGATCTGCCGAACCTCAAAGGGAAAGAAATGGCTGTGGGTCAAAACCAATGGTACCATTTTGGGGTAGGTGCACCACCCATTTTAGAACCTATTTTAGTGGGTGGATTGGGATGTTCAAACCAAACGGGGTACGATTTTGATATTGACCCATGGCCAAATGAGCATTCAGAAGCACGCAGTGACATGCTCAGTTCCAAGGTCCTGGAAGAATGCGGAGGTGTCTACACCAACCTCTGTGTCCTCGGCTGGGAAAGCTGCTGGCGAGAGCCAGCCAACTGCACAGGCCTGCGCGATTGACGAAGCATCACGGGAACCTGTCCCTCACATTTGGGTGTGGCTCAAAATGAAACAGGAGGGGCAAACCGCAGGTTTTGGTCCATGTTTGCCGGTTTTTTGAGCCACAGCCATTTGTTCTGTTGTACAGCCCATCCCCTGAGTCCAACCTCGAAGTGAGGTCCACTCTTCAACCCTGGAACCACTTTTGAGGTCTGAATGTTAAGGCATTCTTTCCTCAGGGCCAAAGGAACATGGGATCTGAGTTGCCCCACGTGGGTCGTGTCCGTCGACTCAGGGCTCCCTGGGGAACGCGGCCTGGGACGCCGCCTCTCCGGAGTCGAAGGCGGCGCTCTCTTTGGCCTTTCGCCTTTCGCCTGTCGCCTGCGTTGGGCTCCGCCAGGCCGGCAGCGGAACACCCAAGAAGTGCGCGCCAGGGGGCCTCGCAAGAGGTTTCGGTGTTCTGCAAGTGCTCTTGAGCTCTTGATCAAATCTGCTTTCGCGTTTTCGGTTTTGCAGCTCGTCTTTTTGGTTCTCGGCAACCAGCTGGCTTGGCAGTCCCTGAACAGTCTTTAGGAAACTCAGAGGTTTGCAAAATCGATGCAGTTTCACGAAGGGCCTAGAGTAGCTCAGACGTGAGTGAGGCCCAAAAATCCCTTCTGGGTGCAGCCAGAGGCCGGAGCTGTGGCGCCTCTCCTTCGAGTCGTGACTATCAGCACTTGTCCCATGTGAAATGGCCAGCCAAAACTTGAGGAGGCCTCACATGGTTTTGAAAGAGGCCTGAGAGCTCGCCGGATTCCTGGTTTCAACTCCACTTGGGTCTCTAGGGGACCTCCAGAAAGGGGACCTGAAGCTCCGCGCCAGGTTGCAGCAAACAAGAAGGTCTCCCGCGGCAGCGCCTTGGCGAAATTCTTGGCGCATTGTAGCCAAGGAACATGTGGTGAAAGCAGGGGATCTCCCTAGACATCTACTCTTTTTCGTTCATTGCATGATTGACCAAGTAGTTTGATGGATGCCCTGACAAGTAATCGTATCCTTGATTCATGGAAGCCCTGTCCACGCGGACGAATGTACATGCCGCTGGCATCGACCCTCAGCCCCAGAGGGGCTGCTGTCGAGGCTGCGACGGGATGAGCAGCTTCCTCTCCGGGGACGGCGCCTTAATCTTCAGCGCCTTAATCTTCAGCCATTGCCGGCGGAAACGGGCTCCCCGGTCCGGTGAGGGTTTGATTATTTTGATGCACATCTGGCTGTGGCTCAAAAATATGTACCAAAATGGCGCTTTGGAAAATGGAACCAAAGACTAAAACCTGCGAATCCTAGTTCTTTAATGTTGAGCCACACCCATCTCACTCCTTTGCCCTTTTTGTGGAAGAGTTGCGCTCTTGCCAGCATGGTTCAGAGTGATGGACAACTCTGTTCTTTCATCAATCCCGGAAGGTCAAATATCAGCGATGTCTTTTTCTGCTAGCTTCAAACGATTGAGCGGTGCACAATATGAACTTTTCTGAGGAAGCATCCTTGGGGCAAAAGCTCACAGAAGCAATGCTTTGAACTATCATCCTATTACAGTGGCCCTCTTTTCTGGTTGCTGGATCATTGCGGTGCAACTAGACTACACTGCTCCACAATGCCAATGCCATTGGAACCTCTCTTTTTTTTTTTGGCAATTGGTGAATTTTGGCGTCGGTGGGAACTCCCAAGGGGTTTGCGAAGGCAGCGCGCGAAGCCTCTAGGCAGGCACCTCAACCCAGGCGAAGCCACTGAGCAAAGCCACCAATCTGTCGCGACGCCTTGCATAGGACACCCCGCTCTCCAGAAGTGTAGAAGCCCCGAACGCGCATTCCCTATGACCCTGTCTAGCTGCAATGTGTAGGATGTGCTTGCGTGGGTGGTATATATATATATATATATATATGTAATGTGTGTGCGTGTGGGATGTGGGTGTTCATGTTGGTTGTTTGTTGTTGCTCGCTTGTCCTCCGGGCCTTGCGCAAGCCGGCAGTGGGCTGCGTGGGAAGGAACTCCTTCCTGGCCCTCAGGCGGTGCAAGGGCAGGGTGTAGCGATCCCGCGATCCCGCGATCAGGCGGCCAGTCCTTCAATCTTTCGTGGGCCCTTGATGGGCGAGCACGCCGCCTCGTCCGGTTGGGGCGGTGGGGGAGTGTGAGTCCACAGCTGGCCCTTTTGCTGTGCAGCACGCGACCGCATGACTGCTCAGGTGTGATCCCACAATGAACCCTGTGCTTGCGGGGCATTTTTTGGGTGTGATGCCACGACTTGTCCTTTTTGGCGCCGAGCAATGTCGAGAGTTGGTGATGATGGGGGTTGCCCTGGCTTCTCTGGTTTCTTCGTTCCGCGCGTAGCTGGCAGCTGCGAGCCTGGTTTGCAGCGCGGGTATTCCAGCGCAAGGCGCTGTCCCGCTGAACGTCTCGCGCTTGCCGACTTGTTGCGGCCGTGGTGTTGCATGCGTCCTTCTGCTCGCGGGCTAAGTTGTTGTCAGTTACCGTGGTCCGGCTTTTTCCCTTGCAGCGCAGAATTTCTGGTCGTGGAAGCCTATGTCGCAGCGCTTGGCTGCCTTTCTCTGCTGCTGGCGCGGCTCCCTGGTCAGACTTTGATTGTGGCGTCCGACAGGTTGGGTTCCAGCGTGTTCGCAGCGAAGGCCTGCAGCCCGCAGAAGGCGCTGTTTCTTGAGCGCGACCTTGCAACAGGGCTTGGACATTGGCTGGGGGCTTCTGGTTGCGGGTGTGACCCCCCTACTCTTTTGCCAGTTGCCAAGAATCCTTGGTTGCGGCGTGGCCCCGCGACCAGTCTTTTCTCTTAGTTTGCGGCGGCCTACGGGGTTCTGCGTGTGCTGCAGCTGCTGCTGCTGCCGCAGCTCGCCACCCTTGGCAGCTTGCGTGCCTGCTTGCATGCTTGCGTGCGTGTGTGCTGCGCGTGCGTGCTTGCCTGCGAGCTTGCGTGCGTGCGCGCAGCGTCTGCTTGCATGCCCGCGTGTGTGCGTTTGCTTTGGCGTGTGTGTGTGTGTGTGTGTGTGTGTGTTTGTTTGGTGTTCCCCTTGGTGACTTGGTTTGGGACACTTGAAGCTGCCGCAAGAGGGGGGCGAGGACGCCTGCGGAGCCTCCTGATGACGCGTAAGCGGACGTGACTCCCTGACAGCGGGCTTGCCCTTAGGTCGGCCTTGTTCACTGTTTGTATGTACTTTGAGGGCGATTTGTTGGATTGTAAAGACTCAATTTAGCAAAACCCACACACTCCCTTTCTTGAACGCTGTTGAGTAGTCATGGGAATCACTGACAACCTTGCTGATGGTCTACCATTGGTTTGGGGACGACTTGGGTCGCCCACCCTGTTTTCTCCAAATGTCCGACGTTTTTTGGGGACACAAGCAACTTTGTTTGGGGCGCACATTTGGCTTGCCCCAATTTAGGCTGCGCCCCTCCGTTGCCTCAGCGATGTGGTTGACGCCGGCGACCGCAACTTCGAAATCGAAATTGCGGAGGACACGTCGGCATACCACGCACAGTTCGCTTTAGCGTCCGTATTTTGCAGCATTTTGACAGCGTGGCTTCCACTTGGGGGGGGGGAATCCACAGCACTCTGGAGAAACACGGCGACTCGTGATAAGAGGCTTGCATTTAATGGTGGAAGGCACATCTTGGGCCGCTCGAGATTCACTTGAATGGAGGGATCCTGTCCACCTGATCGAGTTGTTTGCAGCTTCCAATTTTGAGCCCCATGAGACGTTCCACTTGGGTAAGTACTCTGGACATTTCACACAGAAGTAGGGACTTTCAAGGGCTCGGCCGCTGGGCCATGTGGATGGCGTTTGTTTTCCCCCTCCAAACCACCAATCCAAACCACCAATGAATTGTTGCCTGCGTTTGGAAGGTAAGTAGATCAAGTAGAGAAAACACTTACACTTTGTCAACTTGTAGTGATGAGGCAAAAAGAGAAGCTCGGGGTTGAACCCCACTTCCTTTGAAGATCAACTGATTCGTCTGTTGTGTCAACTGATTCGTCTGATGTGCAACAGTATGGCCTTCCAATCGCCTCGTAACCTGGTGCGGGCGAGCAGGAAGATCTCACCACAGTGCACATCAGCAGCTGGGAGCAACGGCTGGACTGGCGGAGCTTCCTGAGCGAGGCTGGGCTTTTTGCACGGGTTCCCGGTGAAATAGCCAGGGTAGACATGTTTTGCAGAGACAGTTTTTTGGTTCCTTCCATTGCCCTTGAAAGGTCGCCTTTCTAAGGCCATCGGAAAGCGATAGGAAGGAATGTGTTCAAGAAGCAAATAAAGGGTGATGTGTTCTCCAGGCAGAGCAGTGCTAGCTGGCATATCCTTAGTCAAATTCAGGGAGGGATCCATGGAATTGGTTCCCAGATGCTGGCAACTCGAACTTGATACGATTTTCACGCTTTCGATCCAGAAGGGTGAACTTGAGGGAGAGGGTGACAGCTGAAAGCTTGCGTATGGTCTATTTTTGCAGAGACTGCGTAGATAGAACTTGCAAAGAGAGTACGAGTTGCCTAACCGCTTCCTTTTGTTTCTGTGGGGTTCTTGCCCTGGAAGACGACCGTCTCGGATTCTCAGGCCGTTGCATCCAGCCTAGCCCGGCAAGCGTTCATGAACTTCGATGTGGAGGCTGTGGGGTATCTTGCGGTGGGACTTCGTCGAATGTCCAGTGTAGTTGCGCAAAGTAGCCAACACATTGAGACTCCAAGCCAAAATATCATGATAGAGGAAGAAAGCTTGTGGGGAGGATTGTTGGTTCAAGATTGTTAGGCAAAAGCCACCATACGCGGCAGGGCCAATACTGGGGGCTTTCGATGTGCATTCTGCGAAAGCTTGAAGCCAGGGAAGGTGAGGCTGCAGCCAACCATTTTTATGGGGCCATCACAGGTCCTCAAAATGACCCACCTGTTGGCTCAAAATGCACCCATTAAAAGGCCAAGTTTTTCCCAGGGACTTGAGTCGATTTGCGCCAGGCGGAGCCGCCTTCCTACCCGAGACCGCCGCCCTCGGCCAGATCCGCCGCGGCCTGGATCCCAGTCTAAATGAAGTTGGTTTTCCTGGCATAGCTCAAAGCGTTATATGTTTTGTTGCATTGCATGTTCCCCGAACGCGTAATGAAGGGTTCCCGTTTTTTCCAGGGGTGTGGGGGTAAGGACGTATTTGCGAGAGGCGTCGGTGTGTTCGTGAGCGTTCGCATGCGTCTGCAGGCGTCTGCGCGTGGAGAAAGTTGCCGTGCCGTACCGTTGAGATTTCTGCGGCACGCCGCATAAATGAATCTTGAAGCGCTGAATTCGTTACGCCTGTGCGTGAGGCGTACCTGTTGCGACGTTGCGTGTCGCTTCGCTTCGCAGGCGCAGTGTTTTGAAAGGTTGTGTGTTCGCATCACCGGGCCATGAACGCCCGCAGTGATTGGCGCTTCCGGTGTGGTCGTTTTGGCAGGCGCGTTCAAGTGCTTGCGCGTGCGTCATTCTGGATCTGTCTTACAATCGGCTCGTTTTGGCAACCTGGGGGATGCGTTTCGTAAATGTGTCAAAGTTGGATTTCGTCAGTACTTTTGAGTTCGTCGCAATTTTAGTTATAGGATGTCTTGGCAGCAGCGCTTCCAAGCTTTTCGTGCAAATTTCGTGGCAGGCGCAGTAGTTTGGCGCTTGGGTGCAGATTTCGTGGCAGGCGCAGTGCTTTGGATCTTGGCGTGAGAATTCCAACCCTTCCCGCCCCAACTAAAGAAAACAAACACCCATGTTGGGGGTCCCCGTTTTGACAAACCTATCTGGGTGTCTCATTCTTTTTTGGGCGGCCTTCTTTTGAGCGGGATGTTGAATGGAAACGGAACCAAAAGGAACTTTCGGCGCGCAACTCATGCTGTTCTTGCGAGACGTGGCGACGTAGCGATGAGAGGCGCATCCTGAGACGATGTGACGAAAAACGTCGCGCGAGAGAGCAAGACACGTGACGAAAGACCTGCCAAGAGACGTAAGATCCGACGGAAGAGTGGCAAGAGACGAGAGAAAAACACGGCGAGACACGCGACGAGGGTTGTGGCGTAAGATGTGCCGAGAAGTAAATGTCGAGACGCGAGACGAGTGACCGTGACGGAGTAGAGTCGCGAGGAGAGACACGATGTAAGACGTGCGAAGAGACGTGAGAAGAACCATGGCCAGATGTGTGGTGAGGATTGCGATGAGCGGCGAAAGACGTGACAGGGCATGCGCCGAGATTTGTGACGAGACATGGCGAGAGACATGGCCAAAGGTGATGGATTTTAAGCGCTCTCACGCAGAAAAGGATTTGTAGGTTCAATCCGTTTCTTCTTTACATACGGGGCCCTATAGTAGAAAACATCTAGGCGGGGATTCATGTCCACCAATCACTCTTGAGATGAGTCCCTATCAAATTCACTGCCAAATGCCTTCTTTCTCGTGGAAGTGGACAAACGGCCACCATTTTCTTGAAAAGGCCCCGGCCCTTGTCCACTTCCATGATTGCTGGGGCAAAGAGAAAGGTTCCATCTGCAAACAGAGAAGCACGCTACTTCCGTGCTCCATTTTGTTGCTTGTGACGTCATTTGACACTGGTTCAGCTCGATATTGAGTCCGGCGCTGCATGCTTGCAGTTTTTGGGTGGGTGGACTGCCATGTACCCTAGAAGGCGCTGCGCATGTCAAGGCTCATTGCAAGCGAACTCCTAGCGCCTGGCAGCCACGGACAATCAGGATGAGTTGAATTCCCATGTTGTGAATTGAAGAGAAACACCTCATGGTGGAATGCCTGCTGAGCATGCCTAACTGCAATGCGTGTTGACGTTTGTCTGCCGTGTTTGCTGTTCTGTCTGTTTCTTGTCTGCTTCGGTTCCATGTTTGCCGTGATGTGGCTTTTTTGCCTGCTTCCTCATTTTTGTCCGAGAAATGCCGCTTCCAAGCACGCCGGACAACCAACGTATGCGATTTTCAGGTGGCGCATGGCGTGGCTCCAAGTGGCTCAGGCAAGATGCAAACTCGCGCTGCGTGTCCAGAGGTTTGACCCCTTCCCCTTCCGTCTCGTGGCTCCAGTTTTCTCGGTTCCCTGCAAAAAACGAGCGGATTGGAACTTTCCTGGCTCTCTGGCATCTAGGAATCCTGGTTGCTTGCTGTAATTACTTCGCTCACACCTTTGGTTGACACTCCTGTGTCACTCCAGGCAGTCTTCCTCCCCAGGCCATGAGGCCTTTCTTGATCGAGCTTTCACACCCCTAGCCCCAACATGTGTATGCCATTGGAGTTACAGTAGGACATGTTTGTCCGATTTCTTCATGTTACGACACTGGTACTCTTCCATGTCATTGAGTTGCTGCTCGGGGTGACCAACCCAAGAGAAGAGACTCACAGAGCAAGAGAGAGTTCTCATGTTGTGTGTTTAAGGATCAACAACAATTGCCCTGCCCCAGTGCATTTCAGTTTTGACTTTTTCCATGCCCTAGACATGCTGGCGGAGGTATATTCAGGAGACCAGCGGCCCGCAGAGCGTGTCTTGTGTGCCTTCCTTATGCCATGTTTTACCTGGCCATCGTGCCAGGTTAGCCAAGTAAATGCTCAGACAGAGGCGCGGGCGTGCTGACACAAACTTCATGGCACGGAAAATCACTCAGCTGCACAACAGATCTCTCATCACGGGCGTGCACAAGAGGTTGAGCAGGGCCGGCAACTGCTTCTGGAGGTGCCGGACAGGTGAACCCCAGGTTACATGGTTGGGGAAGTAGGGTTTTTGGGCCGCCGTGATACCAAGGCCATCCCCTTTAAATAAACAAAGGCATGGCCCCGCCTATTTCCCAGAATGCCATTCGAGCCAACTGTCTGGGTATTCTCAAAATATACTTTTGATTCCCGTGACACCCCAACTTCGTGGCTCGCTTGCAACTGTTTCAGGCCTGCTCTGACCCGCAGGTCTCAATCGCGTAGGGCTAACTGACCCACGCCTGGTTTCACAGCCCCTGGCTTTCAGAGTATCAGCCATATTGCAGCCTCGGGGTCAGTGGGGAGATTCAGACTATGACTTACTCTGCAGCCTCATATGTGCCATGCTCAGAAGACCGATGCGCTTACTTGTAGTTGCGGATGGTCAAGGGATGGTCCTGGACCGTTTACATGTTCTTTTGACAATATGCAAGGAACAGAGGAACCATGACCGTGACCAGCATGAACCACAAAAGGAGTTTTGAACATGGCACATGTGAAGCAGAATGGCCGAAACCAATTGCGATATGGAGGCACGGGGTATCGGGAGCGGGCCGAGAATGTTTCACGAGCGAATACGACCAGCTACAGCTTCGCGTGCCTCGGTTGTCATTTCTGTGCTGAGCCTTTCTGGCGGTCCGAAAGCTCTCTGCACACTTGCCGATGCGAGAAATGGGTGTGGGTCAAAATTAAACTAGGGGACCACAGGTTTTGGTCATTGTTTCCATTTCCCAGGGTGCCATTTTGGGTACCTATTTTTGACCCACAGCCAAATCGTGATTGAGAAATCGGTCCGTGCAATGAAGAAAAAAGTCAGGACTTTGGGTCGCTTGGTCTGATTCTCTGGGTCCTGCAGTGGCATTGAGCAGAAGCTTCCTGTGCTTTGTGCTTTGTGGTTTTGGCTCAGCGTCCACTTGCGCTGGGCTTGCGCTGGTGACATGTGGCGCTGTCCCCAGCCGTGAAGCAAGCTGGGCGGAGAGGCGGAGATGAGTTCCCTTTCCAGTGGACTGCGATTTTGTCTTCATGCTACCCGGTGGGGTGAACCAACACGTCGCCGGAGCGATTTGTTGCTTGTTGCGATTTGTTGAGGTCAGATAAGCCTCCCGACTGGGAGGTTTGCTGGGACTTCGCAAACCGTCTGGCCCTCTGGTGGCTATGCTGGGCAAGGGCAAACTATTGGGCCTTGCAGTGGGGGCTCAGGAGCAGACTAAACTCTCTCTCATTGCATGAGGTGAAAGAGCTGATTGATTCATAAGATTTCACGCCGTGACAGCTTGCCCCCCGACACTGCAACGTGGGTGACAAGCTTCTAAGCTGAGCTTTAGAAGCGCCTCGTTTGGCAGGTCAGAAGCAGAATGCATGGCAGGGCTCGGGCTCCTATCAAAGCCAGGCGTGGAATCATGCAGAGATTGAACTGGACAACATGTTTTTGTCCCATCAAAGTGACATCCTTACAATTTCCCTCCAAATGGTGGTTGCAATAGAAAACACCCCCCCCCCCCCAACTGTACTTTCGAGAACCGCACTCAACATGTTCACCCAGTTCTAGCTGCAGGGAGCTAGTACTTTTCGAGACGATCAGGCTCTGCATGGTGTATATAAATAAATATATATATATATACATATATATATATATATATATACCACCCCTTCAATTGAAATACTCAGGCTTTTGCCCAGAACTCAGGTTTTTGGCCAGACTGGGGGTGACAAATGCCTTGAGACTTTGAAGCAACTCCATGCAAATTCCAAGCAGAAGTTAAGCCCAACGTTGAGAAGGAGTTCCGGTTTAAACAGTTCGAAAGTCGCATTGGTGTGCGCGAATTGGAGTAATCGAAGTGCACGTTGGAAGCTCCAGCTCAAGAAGTACAACTTTTCAGTCTAAGCGTAGTACGCGTCGTTTGCTTTGGGAGCTTCAACGCGCCTGTAACAGCTCGATTTTCGGTTGTATTATTTTGTGTGGCAGATAAATTCAGCAAAGCAACAACTTGGGGGAACGGAGCTCAATCCTACTTGCAACTGACATCCAAATCAAATATAAAAGTGCTTCGTGTCCTTGCGCAGTTGATAACTCCATATACATTCTAATTAGGTTTACTAAATCAAACTTGCCAAGCAACCATTTCAGTTGTGCGTTGCTTGACTAACTTGATTCAACCATTGTCACTAACAACTATTGAAATTCAAATATAGGAAGGATATCCAATTTACCATGCTTTCGAGTTCAAGCCAAATTCAACTTTAACCGGTTGCAGTTTCTTGTGATATCAAGAAACATTTGGAGCACACAGCTATTGTCACGGCCAGAAACTGGAATCATTCTCAATTTCAAGGGGGTTGCCCTTGTCCTTACCTCCATGTGGTTTTAACCAAGCGAGAACTGACGGAGCCAAGCCAACAACAGAGACGCAGTTTCAAACACGGATCTTATTCTTGGCGTGAAATGCAGAAAAAGAAGCGCGGTGTTTTTCTGCATTTGCTCAGTTCGTGTTGCCTTGCCTGGATCGAAAGTCGAGAATTTTCAAGATTCCACATCCTCTGGCCCGCAACAAGCTTGACAGTTTATCCAGACTCTTTAAGGTTTTCCCACCTGGACCGAAGATTGAAGATATCCCAGATGTTGTGTTTTGATCACCGTCCATCCTAGCCTCTCAAATCCCAACAAACTGCACAGTTTTAAAACATGTTTCTTTGCCCTGCCAAAATGCCGTGCACGTCCACAAATTGATTTATGGAACCTGCGCTCCTTGTCTGCCGCTTTAGATTCTTCACTTCCGTACATGGGGCAATCCAGGATGTGCTAGCACGTGCCACATCCTGGATTGAAGATTGAAGATTCAAGATTCTCTGTCACCTCTTTCAGCGATTCTTTAAATCTGTACTTAGGATTGAAGATTCAAGATTCTCTGTCAACTCTTTCTGCGAATTAGGATGTGCTAGAACGTGCAAGCACATCCTGGACGCGCCAGCACATCCTGGAGTGAAGATTTCAGATTGAAGAATCCCAGACAATTGCCCTATGTACAGATTTTAAGAACCCAGAAACAGTTGTCAGAGAATCCTCAATCTTCAATCTTCAATCCAGGATGTGCTAGCACATCCTGGATTGCATTAAGTGCTGAGGCTAGAATTTAATTTTAGAGCGTCATTTTTAGAAGTGGGAAAATACATTTTACATGCATTTTTACAGCAAACAGGTGAATGGTTGAGCAACACCTTGAGTATTCCAGGGATTGAGTACCACATATATGTTTCTATACATCGCTATGAGTTTCAATAGGGAACCACCTCCACAACGGTTGGTGACACAAATCCCCACGTACATGATGTTCACTCAAAGGTCCCCTTGTCATTCACGCCCATATGGCGGGGTGCAACCCTTGAAGTTTGATCTTGCAAGGAGAGCCCCTGGCAACAGAGCCTGGCCTGGCAGCAGATGCAAATGCAGCAGATGCAGCAACTGCAGATGCAGCAGATGCAGATGCCGCCCTGGGCCCCTCCCCCTGCCGGGCAGCCTAGGTCAAGTTGTCAAGAGGTAACTGCAGGTGAAACGACATTTGCATCTTGATATGAAAAGATGTGTTGATGTGTTGAGTTTGTCTTGGGACTTGAAAAAAATCGCTGCAAGTCTTTGGAGTTGCACTCTATCTTTTGAAACCCATTCTTGCCAGGATGCATGGTACACGCCGCAGCAGCAGCAGCGGCAGGCTCAGGCGGGGCAGGCTCAGATCAAAAGCTCTTTGGTTGATGTTGAGAAGGCACCTCCGTTGACTATTTGTTGGAGGGGAATCCAGTTCTGAACGTGTCAGTGTCCGAACATGATTGACGAAACATTTGACTCGTCATTTGGGTCATCACAGGACTACTCCCCATAAGGGTAACCCTCCCATTTGGACATAAGTAGGGAACCACCTCCAAAGTGGCTGGTGGACATGAATCCGCACCCCTGATGTCCACCAAGTGTTTCTCACAGTGGACCGCCGGCCTTTTGGTTGGTATGAGGGAAGCCAAAAAACCCAAACCCCAAACCCTAAACCCCAAACCCTAAACCCGCCACTTTCGGGTGGAAAAAACCCACCCGAAACCAATGCACGGATTCCTGTTTTGAGCGCAGGCATCCAGCTCCTCGGCCCGTCCGGACGTGGCCGAGACCTCAGATTGAAGAGGAACTCATGGAATCGGATGGGGGCTGTGCCTGGCTCACTGGACTTATGGTGGAGCAGCCAAGGGTGGCTTTTGCCGGACCAGGGCTTCATTTTTTTCGGGTTCATACATAATCAGCCCTTGGCTGGTGGTGTTGTGTTTTCACGAGACAAGAGGGATGCGTCCAGCCTTTGCGCTTGGTCGAGTTGACAAAAGTTGTGACCCTCACAAATGACGCCTGTGGGGAGAACAAGCAAGAGAGAGCGTCGAGCGGCCAGCAGGACAGCGCGCATTGGCCAAGACAAATGCTGCAACTTTAGGGATGCTTGGATCAACTTTGCTGCAACTTTAGGGATGCTTGGATCAACTTGCCGATATTGCACCCTATCGATTTTGTGGTAATATCGTCGGACCAGCAATTGGCGCTCCCAACAAACCAACAAGAGTTCAAGCGTGCAGCAGCACTTATGAACTCATGCAAGACACAACAAAATATACGCCACCTAGCGATTTGCAGATTCTGTCAAATCGGCGATTTGTCGCTATGATGTTAGTTTGATTGATTTGTGGACCAAACCTGCAATAGGACGTGTATGTGTATATGATATATATATATATAAATGAATATATATATATATATATACATATCTATTGTCAAGGGTTCGCAGGTCCCCTCAATAATTTTGATGCCTTAAACGGCATGATTCAGAAGATGAATGTGTGTATGCACATATATATATATATATACATGATCACACACACATATATATATATATATTTGAAGGTGTCTCAAGATAGGGACCCCTTTTCTTCCGTTGCTTTCTGAAGAAACCCAAAGGGGCACTAGTCTTAGGTCCCAGACGTACAGACGCGTGAGTCTGTCGTGGCCCCTTGTTCTTCTCCCAGGATTTGCCGCCATCCCTGGAGAAGCGGATGAAAGAGCGGGAGAGTGTTGGGCTGAGAGGGAAGCTTCAAGACGGGCAACAAGGTGAGCCAAAAGCAAGGACCGAACCCAAGCCATTGGTGGATGTCGCCACTTTTTGAATCGCACGTGAGGACCATTACTTTTGGAGCACTCACGAGCACTCACACGTGCGTGAAATCTGCACGCAAGGGTCAGATCAGGCCAACTCCGTGGTTGCAAAGCTGGA